ATATTTGAACCCATTATCCATACTTGCTTAAAAAAATGTGAAAACCAAATTATATGTATAAATGTATTATTATAATCGATTATAATTATAATAAATTTTTGTTTGAGTAAAGTTTTTAAAAAGTGATTTTAAGATATTTAATTTTGTTTGAATAGAAAAAAATTAACTTTTATGTAATAAAATTTCTTAAAAAGAAAAAATTTATTAAAAAATAATCAGAAATCTCAAATTAAAAAAAAAGTGTTTTTTTAAATAAATAAATAAAATTATTTGCAAATTTAAACTGTCATGCTAAACAGCTCGCTTATTTCACAAATATTTTTTTTCTTTGTAAAAACAGCAAAAAGTGAGAAACAATCTTTCCCGATCACAAGCACTTGACTACTAGGTTAATAAATTTATTTTCCTGGTTTTATCTTCAATTATCTCTTTCTATTTTCTTAGTAAAAAAACATACATAAAAAATTATTAAGAGGTAATATTTTTTAATTAATAGTCTACCGGCCCATTAAAATTAATAATAATAATTTGTATAATAACTGCATAATTAGGAATGACAATCTGTATCCGTGAACATCCACATATAAAATTCATCACAACTAGGAATTTGAGAAGTTTAAAAACACGTCCGAGTATTTTTACTACCTGTTTATTATCGGGTGAAGTGACTACCATCTTTACACGTGGATTCTCACTAATGTTAAATTATCTAACTAATTCTTGTTTTTTTAATAACAAAATGGGTTACGAAATTAAGTTATTTTAGTTTGTTAATTTTAATTTGGATTTATGAGATAGATATATTTTAATATTTAAATTTACATTTGTAAACTAACATAATTTAATTAATACAATTATGTATTAATTAAATAGAATAATTATATAAATTCTTTGAATAATTTTAGTTCCGTCAATTTAGACTATTTTCTTTTTTTAAATAAAACAATCAAGCATAACAAAAATACATGTTTTAAAAAATATTTTTAAGTTATTCTATTTTAGGAAGTACTAGTAATTTAGTTTGTACAATATATATGCATATTTACTATATATAATTAAAATTTATAATAAATTATATATAAATATTATGTGAATATATAAATTATATATAAATTTTGAATAAATATTAAATAGATATTTTAAACATATATAATTTATGATAAATAATTTATATTATAATACAAAATTATTTTATTTATTGATGACTTGTTTTAAATATTAGTATTTTATTTAATAATTATGATAAATAATAATTGAGTTAGATAAAAAAAATTACAAATTCTTTCATTAAAAAATTCTAAAAACATACAAATAAGATAAATATTCATATTTAATATTTAATATATAAAACAATTATCATCCCCTTAACAATATCCACGCAAGTGTAAGAATGACAATATTAATGTTGACTAATTAAAGACAAAATATTATACTAGTATTATTGATAGGCCACAAGTGAGCGATAATCACCCACCTAATTAATAACCGGATAGTGGACATTGTCCAATTATTGAACAATAAAAGTATGAATGATAGTATATGTGATCCTTTGACAATTAAACTAATTTATAATTATTAAATAAAATTAAAAAATTTCTTTAATAAAATTTAAATGATGTTGCAGCTTTTTATTTTGATTTATTAAAAATATTTTTGAAATAAAAAACACTTTTAGAATCAATAGAGTTAGCTCAGTGTTAGATGAGGAGAGATTGAAATAATTAGAAATATGAAGACCTAAATTCAATCTTTATTACAATCATCTTTGTAATTTTTTCTATTCTTAAAAAAAATACTTATTAAATTTATAGTAATTATGTAAAATAAACAATTTTTGGATGTATTAATTTGCCTAAACTTCTTATTTTAAAAATAAGTAATTAAAATTTTTATTAACTTGTTAAAAAAATATTTTTTCGAAAAACACTTTATTATAATATTTAAAAAAAAATAAAAAACTGACCCAATATACCCTGGTCTATAAAATAAAATGAGACTACTCTTTC